ATAACAATAACATTAATAGCAACTACAATAACAATTTCAAAAGCAAAAAATTGATATCATCAAGAAACTTACCGTCAAAGCCGGGTGGCTTTCCGTGCAAATCAACCAAAGATTTCATAAAATCTTTGTCGAAATTGAGGGCGACTTGATCGCCAGAGCCACCGGTAGCGAGGTGGTTGGCACCGCCAGTCCCAAATTTCTTCAACTGTTTGTACGAACTGTTAGGCTTGAATACCTTAGTGCGGTGTAGTATGGGCTTGATAGAATTGCCCGACATGAACGTGAAACTTTCTTTAGGGGTGTTTTTCTGGTTTCTACGGTTCTTTTTGACGCTACTGCTTTGCTGCTGTTGTTGTAATGGAGTCTTGACATCTTTCTCGTTCATCACACTTGCACATGCACACTCATCATCATCGTCATCGTCCAGCTGCTCTATCAGCTGTAGTTGCTGATGCGTTAGCTCCTGCTCCGACAGCTGCTCGTTCGCGTCGAAGCATTGGTAGCCAGACTCGACGAGGAGGCTGGCCGTGAGGGCGGAATTGAACTGGCACGACCTGAACAAGTCCACCAGGTGCGGAGGCTCGATGCTTCGGAAGCAGTGAAAGAGGCTGGACAACTTCTCGCTCTTGCTCAGAAACTCCTCCTCATCCGTCTGCGAACTTCTTTCCACACCACTGGTGGTCGGGGGAGGTGGAAGTTGGGGGTAGGACGAGAAACGGCTTGGAGGGGGGTAGTAGGAACGCAACTTGGCGTCACGATCTCTCGGCATCCTCGTCTGCTTCTTCTTCTCCGGTGGGGTTGCTGCTGCTGCGTCTGGCTCCGATGGTGACGACACCGATGAAGATGGCAGCACCTCATTGGAGAGTTCTTCTTGCTGCTGGAGAGATGGAACGATCACGCCGATGAAGTCAGTGTTGTAATTAACGTATCCATATTCCGCCATCTTCTCGACCAGGATCAATTCGTGTATCTCTGTTGAGCAGCATGCATCTCGCTTGCTGCTACTGGCGCTTCTGCCGGCGACCTTACTTACGTTACTATCGTCATCAGCTCTCCTAACGCCTCGATCAATTCTCGGTGTACTGTGGTTGGAAAGAAAGTTTTTTATTGTATCATAATGTATTAGGCCTTGAGAACATTTGGACGATGAGGATGAAGATGAGGATGAAGATGATGAGTGGCGATATTGGTGAAGTAATAACAGAGATGTTGATGATGGAAACAGCTGATCGTTGCCACCATTATCATTACCGTCATTATTTTTATTACTATTACTATTACCACCACCAACATCCTCATTCTCCCAGCTATATACTTTTTTATAATTGAAATTGTCATCATTACCGTCGTCATCATCATCATCTTCATCCTCACCATCATTCCTTTTGGTAATGTTATAATGCATTTTAGTGGCACCATACAAAATATTATCGTTTATGTCTGTTGCTGGCTTTCCAAATACAAGTTCATCATCATCACCATCATCATCGTCTTTTTTTTTAACATCATTCTTATCATCATCATCACCATCATCTTTTTCATCATCATCAACACGCCCGGCTTCATCATCGTCACCCCACGTCATCCATTCATGCACAGTCGAGCAAATATCGCCCCAGTTATTATTATTAGCTGCTACGTCATTGCCCTCATTATCATAATTTATTTTAGATCTATTTTGAGATGGCGAGCTATTTTTAGATGGCGAGCTATTTTTAGATGGCGAGCTATTTTTAGATGGCGAGCTATTTTTAGGATCTCGTCCACAAGCCAGAAAAGCATGTTGAACGGCAGAGCTACGGTTACAGTCAGAGCCAGACCTCTGCCCATGACTAGAAAATAGTAATAATAAAAATGTTAATGAGGAAAAGTATAAATTGGCGAAATTTATTCAGAGACTCCTGTCGGCGACCGGGAACGACTGCGAAAGAGCTGTGCTTGTCGCGCGTGTGTGTCTGCGTGTGTTTGTTGTGCGTGTGCGTGTGTGTGTATGCGTTTGCGCGTGTGTGATGCATTGCTTTCTCATTATTGGCGTCAATGTATTTCCAAAGTATTTCAGACAGCGCTATATAAATCAGTTACTATTACTACTACTATTATTATTATTATTAATTCACAAATATTATAAATTAATAAAGATATAACTGACGGGAAAGCAAAAGGTGGCTAAAATTAGAAACAAACCTCATGGCATACCAGTGCAAATTTTGTTGATACTCAGGAGTATCACGGTAGGATTTCCACAGAGTCTTTTTACTTTCCCTTTCGGTTTTGACCTCTTCACGTTTCTTTGGCAAACCACCAACGGCTCCTTTAGTGACGTCATCGTCGTCATCCTTATCGCCAGCACGACCATCATCATCATCATCATCGTCGTCGTCGTCTTCACTATCATCACCTTTCTTGTCATCTTTGTGGTGATGTTTCATTAGCGTCTGTAGCCTTTTCTTATCATTTAGGAATTCGAGAAGTTTTTGACTGGTGATATTGTTCTCGTATCTATCCAACATGGAAGTTATATTCTCCATCCTAACTCCATGCATGTTCTTCCTGTCGATGAGAATATATATTCATGATACATATGATATCAGAGACCGTATATAGGATATATATTATTATACATGATATATATTCTACAGTCATATATATGATAGATAATGAGTATGATGATGATACATGGAATGATTTAGACTAAACATAAGGCATTGTTTATGGCATGTTGGATGATACATATGATAAACTACTACTCGCATGTTGGATGATACATATGATATACTACTACTCGCATGTTGGATGATACATATGATATACTACTACTCGCATGTTGGATGATACATATGATATACTACTACTCGCATGTTGGATGATACATATGATATACTACTAATCGCATGCTGGATGATACATATGATATACTACTAATCGCATGCTGGATGATACATATGATAAATTGTGCGACAATCTTGGAAAAATTATTAAGGAATGAAATGACGACTGACCTGACCAGCTGACCGGCATTTTTCCTCCAAGGTACATCAGGTTCAATGACCTCGATGATGTAGCCATATTTGTCAGCCTGCAAAACAACAAAATCATTATCATCATCATCGTTATAATAATCATAATCAGTATCATTATTATTCTCTATATATTCATCAATTTTCACAGCTTACATTTCCAACCAATCAGAATGATTCAATCACAACCAATCAAAAGCAAATGAACAGTCACGGCCACCCAATCAGAATCAAGCATCTGAACACGGCCAGCCAATAAAATCTACCAATCAAAATAAACGTACCATTGCTGCGTAAGGTATCATCTCCCACATTTGAGTATTCGTATTGTCGATAATGATAGGTGACCTTGAATCTAGCATGTACTTTTCGGCTAAAAATTATTTTATTTTATAATTTATAATAATGTAATATTAATAATAATTATAATATAATAATTTTAACATAATTCACTGACCAATTATTTTAATGAATAAAATCTAAATCTAAAAAATTTCCCCAAAGATAAAAATAGCAACAAACCATTTGATTGGTTCCATTCGTGAGCCTCTTGAAGTTGATTGGCTACAAATTTGAAATCTCCACCCCTCATGAAAAAATCATCCGTTGACAGTACAACCCCGTTGAATTGGATGGCTCTGCGGAGAAAAGGATATTGCAATCATTTAACAATCCAACCAATCAATCATGCAATCTTTCCATCCCTCAAGCAATCCATCCCTCAATCAACCAACAATTCATCAATCAATTAATCAACCATCCATTTATCAATCAACCCACAATTTAAATCAATCAATCTGTCACCCATTCAATCAGTCAGTCGCTAATTCATCCATTCATTCATTCAACCAATCAGTAAACTAACTTGGCGAGGGTACTCTTCCCCGACCCTGGACAACCCCTCATTAACACAAGAACCTTCTTCTTCTCACTCACCAATCCTTTAACTCTCTTTACTGCATAATCTTTGGTCATCAGAGTGGATGACGATGATGATGAAGGTGGCGGTGATTTCACGGACTCCCCTGTTTGAAAATAATGATGATGGTGGTGGTGTATATGGTGGTGAAACTTGGGTGTTGAGGAGAGAGGAGGAAAGTGTACTGTAGAGGGCTGAAAGAGCTAAGGTGAGGATGATGTGTGGGGTTAAAGTGAAGGATAGGAGAGTAGTACAGAGCTGATGTCAATGATGGGACTGAATGAGGACATCGAGATTGCGGTGGTATGGACATGTGTTGAGAAGGGATGAAAGGGTCGGGATTAGGCGAGCGTTGGAGTTCGAGGTTGAAGGAGTGGTAGGAAGGGGTCGTCCGCGATTGGGATGGAAAGAGCAGGTGGAGAAGGACAGGGTGAAAGCGGGGTTGCGTGATACTGAGGCGAGTGACAGATGTGGATGGCGTCAAAGGGTATTTCGGTTTCATCATAGGTAGCCAAACGGTAACCCCCGATCTCGGGGAAAATGCCGTCTAAACGTGTGTTGTTGTTTTTTGGTGGTGTACAAGTAGGAAATGGTGTGATGATGACAATGATGAAAATGATGGCAATGATGACAAAGTTAGCATAAATGATGATTTAAATTGAGTTAAAAAAATTTTAGCTGCCCGCTTTTTCTTTACCTTTTTTAATGTCTCTGCTGTATGTTTTCTTGTTCGGCTGAGTGGTGATGTTTTCATTTTTGTTATTATTATTCGAGTGTTTTGCGTTTCTTCTGTGACAGTAAGTTGACGTGCGTGTTGTGGTTGTAGTCGTCGTGGCAACTCTTGTGACTGTTACTGCTGCCGCTGCAGTTGCTGCTGCTCTTGTTGAAGTCGCAACTGGACAGGTCACTTCTGGAATGAAATCTCGTGCATTTTTAGCCGAGAGATTATAGTTGTCGGCAAAGTTGGTTCGGAACTCGTCGTTGATCTCCGCTGCCATCTGCAGAAGCTGATGAACTGCCATTTCGACTGCATGAAGGAAGAACATTTTTCAAGTTATTTGGAAGTTGAGATGCAATTTTTTAAAATGCAAAGATGATCATAATAAATTCATATAAAAATATTAAAATTAAATTAATATGAAAATTAGGATGCTAATTCATAGGACGCTAATTTTTTTTATAACAATGCGTATACAATTATACATTGTATAACAGAGGCAATGATCCGGATGCAGATAGACTAACCCACCGGCTCAATTGTTACTTGCTGAAGCTCTATGACTTTTACAACAACAGAAACTTGGAGATTTCTACCTCCAATCACTCACTCTATTCACTTCCCACTCGTCACAATATCATCACTGTCCTTCAATCAAAATCAATAACAATCTCCTTCCTCTTGAGCACAACTCTAAAATATTAGGCCTCACTCTAGACATGATGCTTGCTTTCCTTCTTCTGACACCATAAACAAGCACAGCATCGAAGGCCTCTAAAAGAACCAATATCTTAAAGGCACTCAGTGGTACTACCTTCGATCAGGATAAGAAAACTCTTCTGCAGACCTACAAAACCACTGGTCGTTCAACAATCGAGTATGCCTGTCCTGTCTGGGCATCTCTGACGTCAGATTCAAGATTTTCCCATCTCCAGTGCTCCCAGAATGCTGCCTTACGTCTGGTTACTGGTTGCCATGCCGTCGCATCAAAACGACACCTGCACTAAGAGTGCCAGATGTTAATGGTAAGCCAGCATTCAGAGCTAATAGCCTCACAATTCCTCCTCCTATGCCATAACTCAAGCCACCCGTGCCATAATATCATCATACAACTTCATCCTCATCGTGACATAAAGACCACCCTCCTCTCAAAATGGTCATCATCAATAAATGCGGTTCTACCAACAATAATTGATAACACTCTGAAGACAGCTTTAAAGAGCCTACATACAAACACTGCTAAAGCTGCCGCTGAGACGTACCAGTTGCCCTCAGTTGCTCAATGGATGGCCTCCTCCAGCACCAAAAATATATCCTTCAGAAGAATTACTTCCAAGGGTCATCAAACTGACCCTCGCCCAACTCCGACCTGGCCACAGTATTCTTCTAAACAGCTACAAAAACAGAATTGACAGTTGGCATATAAACACCTGACCTTTCTGCAACAATCATACGGATGATGTCCAGCATTTGTTCAGCTGTCCCCAAAACTCCACAGATCTTCAACCAATAGACCTCTGGAGCAACCCTATTGCAGTGGCGGATTGGCTCCGACCTCGATTGGAAGCCTAAAGGCCCCCCGGAAGTGGCAACAACAGCAACAACAACAACAGCAAGACTCAATCGGCATTCTTTAAACTTGTTAACCAATCCAGTCATCATCTAACAAAGAAGGTATACAACAACATCTCAGAAGAACAAAATTAAAACAAACCATTGTAGTTGCAGTGAATGAAGACATCATCAATGACTGCATGGTCTAGCACATGTGAAAACATATCATACAGACGCGCTTTCATCCAATTCTGGTATGATTCAGGGATATCCTCCATGTGTCCACGGCCACGACATCCATAGTCATTATGACATAAATTAGTGACGCTAGTGTTTGTTGTATTGACGACATTAGATGCACCGGAGCCTGACCAAGCGCTGGTTGGACTAGAAAATACGTTGCTGTTGTTGTTACTTGACGGCTGGTAAAAGGGGTTAAGGGTTCGAAAATCGCGGTTGCCCAAGTTTCGGTTGTTGTCGCCACCGAATTTGTGGCTGTTGTTTTGACTACTGAAGTTTGATCCACGGTCATTTTTACGGTCCATGAGGATGATGCTGTTTGAGTTTTGAATTCCGCAACACACAATATATACCAGATTAATCCACTAATACTAATGAATGACCAATAATAACTAACTAACCTGGCTTCTTGAGTCAGTGAAGAAATCAAATAATTGAAACTCACGAAATAAAACGTGACACTTTGTTCTGTTCAATTAATAATGTAAGCCGTACAAAATTCAACAATAAACGAGAAGCACTGAAATTAAATTTCAAAAAATTAATGCAACAAATTAGTGAAAGTTAATTAGTTAAACCAACAAGAGAACGCCATGAGAATCATTCATATATATACCAAAGAAATTAAAAGTATCTTTGCCAAAGTTGCAGTTGTAACCATTTGTCTTTGTTTTTTGACAAAACGCCTTATTTTTAATCTACAATTTTTAATCTACATTTTTTTTATTAATAATTCTGTATGTTACTATGATTGTGTTATATATTGTTTATATAATAATAATTAGGTTGTAAAATTTGTAATTAATTATTTTAAGATTGTTAATAGACGAATTATTAATAAATTCGTTTAGGAATTGATATTAGTCACTGAAAAGATTATTTTATAAAGATATTTTAAAATTTACTTGCCAATTCTTTCGTTTGTTCGTTCATTTGTGCGTTTATTCGTTCGTTCATTCATTTATTTGCTCGTTCGTTCGTTCATTCGTTCGTTCATTGATTCATTAGTTCCCACGCTAATTTCTGGCCATCTGGAGGCAATGTTATTCACCTTTATGCAATTTTTAACGTCACCATTCTGATGATGACGTCATAATTATTACGTTTCGATGGTTATTGTGACTGGTGACCACAATTGTAATGTGATTATACCATAGTGATGTGATGGGTATTGATGTGATGATGGTGATAATAATGAGAAGATTAACACGGTATAATGTAATAACCCGACCTGAAAACTGTGATGATGGTGATGATAATGTGATGATGGTAATGATGATGATGGCAGTACACAATTTGGTCTGCCATTATAACAATGTTTCTGTCTACAGATCATCTTAAAATATTCATTAAGCCATTTTCTGCAGACTCGTTCTTGAGGTGTCCGTATTGCTGAGTTCGTCTGTTTGGATGTGTGTGTATAATAGGCATAGATAATACATTGGCAGTAAAATACATATGGTTGCTAAAAATAGATTTAATAACGGTAATATGGAATAATGGTTGTAAAATGCATAGATGGCCCAAGACTTTTTAAAAAAAAAACTTCAAATTGCCAAATTTATGGGAAGTCGAACAATATTTTGCTAGTATTGTGTTTATTTATAAAGAGGTAGGTACAATTACGTGGGGACACACACACACATACATATACACGTACACATACACACGTACACATACACGCACACATACACACAGGCACATACACGCAGGCACACACACACATACACACGCACACACACGCAAACATTGTAGGACATTTAATATTAAACACGCATAACTCGTGGATGCTATTATAAATAAACATCTTGAATTCAATATAATATATACACGTTATTATTGATTTAATACATACGTACATATACACACATATATACATACATATATACATACATTTATATAAACATGCTTATATATATATATATATGTATATGTAGAAATATTTATGTATATTTATGTATGTATATGGTTGTATATGCGTATATAAAGTGCGATAATGATGTACATTGCATGTAACATGTGTTGTTCTTCGTTCGTCAAATCGAATCTCGTTCGATTGTTCATTCATTCGTTCATTTGTTCGTTCATCATTTCATTCATCCATTCGTTCATCACTTCATCCATTCATCTATCTATAAACATAAATAAGTTTATTCATTCGCTTGTTTTAGTCGTTGGATTTATATATTGAAAGTTTCATTCATCTACTTCTTCATTCAATCGTTTTTAATTCGTTTTTTATTAGTTCGATCTATCGTTCATTAATTCATATATATATAATTCACGTGTGCTTTACAATCAGTGTTTTGATTTGGCGTACAAAACATTCTGATATTCATTCATTCGTTCATTCATTCACTTTTTTATTCATTCAATCATTCATTCATTCATTCATTTAAGCATTCATTCTTTCAAGCAAAATAACTTTCAAAATAGGAATAAGACTATACATCCCCGACTTATTTTTAAATTATATTAAAATACTTTAAT